CAAACAGCAGTGGTGAATAGAGAGCAAAAGCTCAGCTTGAGCAGTAACAAACACGGACCAGAAGAGTGCAGTTGTAAGATTTAATAGAGTGAAAACAGAGCTCCCATATAAAGGGAGGGGACCCAAAGAGGGTTGCCGCCTTGCCAGCTCGAATGCCTGGGTTTATATCCGGATCCTTGTCCCTCCCTCTGTGCTCCCAGGCAACAGATGATTGGCTATTTCTTTACCTCCTGTTGTTGCCTAATTAGCATTTTAGTGAGCTTTCCTTACTATCTGATTGGTCGTGTGTGAGCTAAGTTGCAAGCCCCGTGTTTAAAGGTGGAAGTGGTCACCTTCCCAGCTAGGCTTAGGGAGTCTTAGTCTGCCTAGGAAATCCAGGTAGTCCTGTCTCTCAGAACCTGGTGGAGGTAACTGGATCATGGGGGCAGTTTCTCCCATGCTGTTCTTATGATAGTGAGTGAGTCTCACATGATCTGATGGTTTTATCAGTGTCTGGCATTTCCCCTGTTGGCACTCACTCTGTCCTACCATCTCATAAAGAAGGTCCCTGCTTCTCCTTTGCCTTCCACCATGAGTCTCCTGGAGCCTCCCCAGCAATGCAGAACTGTGAGTCAATTAAACCTCTTTCCTTTATAAATTACCCAGTCTCGGGTATTTCTTTATAGCAGCATGAGAACAGACTAATACAACCAACATTCATAAAACTGTGGCAGGCAATTTGAATAAAATTGCAGCTATAGAGAATGTCGTACAGTACATATTTACCTGTGGAAACTGGAAAGAATTTTTTTATTTGCAGGGGCAGATATAAGTAGAAAAATCACCTTACTTACTTTTGTAAGTTAGTTTGTACAAAGTAGACATAGTACATTAGGCCAATGAGAATTTAAGTCTTGTAATTCTTATCTCTCAACATATGGTGTCACTCCTTCTCCGCCAACAACTACCCACTCTTACTTGGTAAAGCTGCCACACCTGGGATTAGTTAGGCCTGAAAAATGGCTAAAAATACCTTTATCATAGAAGGATTTTAGAAAGTATTTTCTTAGTTGTTGCTTCTGGCATTACCAGGGCTGTCATGCATCCACGAAATTGCTGTTTGGTGCCACTGGTAGCTAATGTCCCCATTCAATAACATACAATAAACATATTCACTGTGTTATGAAAAAGTCCACTACAGTCACCACTTCAAGTCTTAATGCCTACTAATTTAGCAATTATAGTGATAGCAAAGCATTCCAAAGGTTTAAAAGAGTTCCAATTCTGGTTAAAATCAAAATTGAGGAGCAAGAGCTTGATATAAAAGGTACAAATCAAACTAATCTCAGAGTTGCCTTTGTAAAACAGATGGGTGAATTTTATCTTTTATTATTTGGTACTGATCAGCCACCTAGTGTTAATTTAAACTCTAATTACAGCTCTCTAAAATTATTTTTCTTGGGGGAAGTGGGCTATTAAGATTTTTGTTGGGGGTAGAAAGGGAAATGATAAATTTCATATGTTATATACTCCTACTTTTCCTTTAATACCAAAACAGGCCATCCCACAAATATAAAAACATTTAGGCTAGGTAGGAAAAGAAAAAATGATAAAGAGAAAGAAGAAAAGCATAGTGATAACATAAAAATCAAAAGTTGACCTTAAAGCTTACTTTATATAAATTATTATTATTTTGAGACAAAGTCTCACTCTGTTGCCCAGGCTGGAGTGCAGTGGCATGATCTCGGTTCACTGCAACCTCTGCCTCCCTGGTTCAAGGGATTCTCCTGCCTCAGCCTCCTGAGTAGCTGAAATTACCGGTGCCTGCCATCACAACCAGCTAATTTTTGTACTTTTAGTAGAAACGGGCTTTTACCATGTTGGTCAGGCTGGTCTCTAACTCCTGACCTCAAGTGATCCGCTGGCCTCAGCCTTCCAAAGTGCTGGGATTACAGGCGTGAGCCAGCGTGCTCCACCTTACTTCATATTAAAAAAGGTGGAAGGAAAAGTAACCCACATATGTCGGTTAGCTGTACCATCCTGAAACAAGAGGATAGTTTAGTAGCTAGATATAAAGGACTAAATATTTCACTTTGGAAAGGCCACTGTTCTTTTTTTTCAAAGTCAGGAGAATATTTCATCCTGAAGAAGCAGTTGTTGAAAGAGTGTAAGGGTTACAGCGCTCAGTAAGGAAACCAAAGGTTTGTAAATGTCTGGAACATAGCAGGTCAAGGAAGTGTGCTGCAGAAAGGGCTGCTACTCAATTTTTTTGCCTGAGGCCTGCCAGTATTAGCTAACCTGAGGAAGTCACAGACAGTGTTATCACAACCAGTAATCTTTCTTCCCTGAAGCAGGGAGGGACAGTGGGCCGAAAAGTCTCAATTGCAGAAAAGTTCTTTGAGTCTTTGGGTCTGTAATCTGTTCCTACTGTTTATATCAATTCTCTTAACTCTCTAAACTCTTGTTAGATATTTATCTTCCTTTTCTTCCTTGTTCATTTCCTATACATAAAAATGCAACAGCACAAGTGAATGGAAATCAATGATTAGTTTTAAAATAAAAAAATTGCTTTGCATTAATTAATTAATTAAAATTTTTTGAGCGTCTCACTATATCACCCAAGCTGGAGTGCGGTGGCACAATTTTGGCTCACTGAAATCTCCACCCCCTGGGTTCAGGTGATTCTTATGCCTCATCCCCCCAAGTAGCTGGAATTACAGGTTATCACTCCTGGCTAATTTTTGTATTTTTAGTAGAGATGGGTTTTCACCATGTTGGCCGGGCTCGTCTTGAACTTCTGACCTCAGATTATCTGCCTGCCTCAGCCTCCCAAAGTGTGGGATTACAGGTGTGAGCCACTGCACTGGGCTTTGCCTTGCATTTAGATAAATTAAGTAGGATAGTAGAATACAGGGAGAAGATGGTGAGACTCAGTACTGCCACTTTCAAGTTATGAAGCCTTGAACAAATCATGTACACCTCTGAACTTCAATTTTTCCCCATCTATAAATGCAGATAATAATTTCGACTGCAATGAAGATTAAATGATGGCTCACAACCTCCACAGCTCTACGTATATGGAAGATATTGTGGCTGAAGGTGACATTGTTTCAACTGAATACACCTTCTAAGTGAACACATTAGTTTTTTTAACTCTAAAAATTTTTTAAAATATTTAGATTTCAAATATGTTCTCCCAATTGTCATCTGTTTGTTAACTTTGTCTATAGTAATGTATGTAAAACCCCAAGCCTTTATTTTGATGCAATTTCTTCAATTTTTTGACATACAATTTGTACTTTCGAAATGTTGTAACATAAGTTATTCCTCCATCCCTCAGTATTAAAATATTCTCCTCCACAATTTGCTATTAATTTCACATTTCAATCTTTCCCATGTAGGCCTTTAATGCATCTGGAGCTCTTCCTTTTAATGTAGTGTTCAATTTTCTCCAGATGGTTAGCCTATTTTCTTTTCCCCATTGATTTGTTGAACCACATTTTATTGTATATTAAGGTTAGAAGTGATGTTGATATTGCTCATCCAGGAAGCACTGTTTGATTAGCAAGATTCTAAACAATGTGAGTTAGCACCTAGTTGAAAGAATTGATAATAATGGATGAGGGTGAATTTAGAATATGAGGGTAATATGTTGTATTATTAAATATATCAATCAAGAAGGAAATAAAAATCATGCTTATTGAAAGTTTTCAGATGACAAAATGGGGATGGTCTTAGTAACTAGAAAAATACACATATAGAAATTACTCTTATACAGCACCAGTTCACAGACACACCTGTAGATTCCCTGAGCTAAATATCTATAATATAGTAACAAACTTTGATTAGGTGATACTGAAAGTTTGAGTACTTAAAAACACCCATCACCAGGCGGCTATTGAACAGCGCCTCGAAGTCCTGCTTTAAAAAATGATTTTATTGGCCAGGCGCAGTGGCTCACGCCTATAACGCAGCACTTTTGGAGGCTGATGTGGGCGGGATCACCTGAGGTCAGGAGTTTGAGACCAGCCTGGCCAACATGGCAAAACCCCGTCTCTACTAAAAAATGCAAAAATTACCCGATCGTGGTGGTGCACACCTGTAATCCCAGCTACTCAGGAGGCTGAGGCAGGAGAATCGCTTGAACCCAGGAGGTGGAGGTGGCAGTGAGCTGAGATCATGCCACTTCACTCCAGCCTGGGCAACAGAGCAAGACCTTGTCTCCAAAAAATAGAACAAAATAAAATAAAATTAAATAGAGTTTATTGCCTGTTTCCAACAGTTCTCTGCGGGAAAAAAATCCAATGATTATATCCATTTCGTTGCGAATAAGACGGGCACCAGTTAACCTATGTACCTGAGGAAATGCTATGGAAATGGTATTTTTCAATATTATTCATCAGTATATTAACGAATATATGACTGAATAATTCATACTGAACTCAAATCAGTTGGAGATGGGCTATAAATGCAAATTAGCTGAGGATTGAATGTGCGTAGGAGATGTATAGGGGGTTAGAGGACCTTTTAAATTCCCCCAACAGTTGTGGTTTGGGTGGTTCTGTGTCTTTGCTATTCATTTTTAAATAGGTCAATTAAAGGAAAGGCCTGCAGCGTGTGGGGATCAGGAAGAAGGCAGATAAAAAACGGGGAAACTAGTCTGTTATTCAAGAGAACTGGCTTTCGCTTGTGGTTTCTCCTGTTTGGCTTGAACAAATCATTTCACCATCTTGGGCTTCCGTTTCGATACTGGGTGGGGAGGAACGGGTGTTACAAGATCTCTCAGTTGTCTTGCTGCTTTCCTTCTTCGTGAGCCCTCCCCAAGTTGATTTAACAAATTCTCTATAACCTAGAGTCCTAGAGTGTAAATACTACAGTCCAGGTGACCGGTCAGCGGGCCTCCTTGCGCATGCGCTGATGTGGCACCCTCTCGCTAAGGCCGGCATTTTGCCTCTGCTGCGCACGCGCCCCTTTTAAATCCCCCACCTGTCAGAGAGAGGCAGGACTTCCTGTATTTTTTTAGAGCGACTGCCGGAAGTGGCAGCGGACAAATCGGCGTTTGCGGAGGCTCGCATAGATTTGGCTGTCTCCGCTCGTAGCTGCTTTTGGCGCGAAAGATGCCGGGTCTGGTCGACTCAAACCCTGCCCCGCCTGAGCCTCAGGAGAAGAAGCCGCTGAAGCCTTGCTGCGCTTGTCCGGAGACCAAGAAGGCGCGCGATGCGTGGTCAGTGTGCAGCCGGAGAGGGCGCGGCCGACGAGCCTCGGGCCGCGGCCTTTGCCTTCCGGTGCCTCTGGCCTACGCCCTCTGCCCTCTGCCCTTTTCCTTCCCCTCTTACCCCCTCCTCTTCCCTGCCTCCTCCCCCCCGCCTCCCCCCCCCCACTCCCCGCCTCCACCCCCCTCTCCCGGCCCCCTCCCCCTTCTCCCGGCCCCATTGCGGCGCTCTGGAGATAATTACTGGGCCTCGTAGGTTTCCTGGTCGGCTCTCTGTTGACTTATCCGGTGGCTTAGTCCCGGGAAGCGATGAAGAAAGAGGAGAACCGCTAGCTTCAACCACTCATTCCTTTCTACAAATGTGTTTTGAGTATCTGTTCTGGGTTAAGCACTGCGTTAGGTCCGAAGATGTAGACATGGATAAAGATGGGTCTTGATATAAAGGAGCTTAAAGTTAATGGAGACATATACCAATGACTTGTATACCACGTGGTAAGGGCTATGATAGAAGATTTGTTAAGACCAAACAGGAAAGGTTTTCTGGTAAATTCTAAGGCTTCCTCCCAAAATTTAGAGACAGTAGGACACGGTGCGTTCCTTACAGTGCTGAAGAGTTCCCCTTCAACCCTTTTAAGGCAACCAAAAGTTGAAAATCAACGTCTATGGCGCAGGGGACAAAGTATTCAGAATAGTTCATCTAGATTGTCAGTCCACAAAAGGTTTGTTCTTATTTTATATATCCTCTTTTGTGGAGCAAATCTCATTAGAAGACGTCCTGAGATAACGTGAATGTGCATCTCTTCCTCTGGCCCCTTTTGTCTTCGCAAATAATATAAGAAAGAAATCATTAGTGCTGTAATGGGATAATAAAAGTGTAGGAGCTCAGTGCTTTTATTAATCCTCAGTATTTTGTGAATAATACTGTGAAGGCAGGATTGAAAGACTGCCGTCTGAACAAATTGTTCCAGTGGTAACAGTAAGTGCTATTGAACCTTGAGTAGTATGACAGCATGATTAAGAGTCTGGGATCCACAGTCAAGGTTTGAATCTTAATCCACTAACTTGGTGACCTTGAGCCTCATGTGTCTATAAAATGACTCTAATAAAAGAAACTCCCTCCAGTATTATTGTAAAGGTTAATGGTACAAGCCATGTCAAGTGTCTAGCACAGTGTACATGGCAATAAATGATCAATGAATGCTAGCTATTATCTTCACAATGATCTCACTCTCCCAGGCAATCTCTCCCATTTGCAGGCAGCTCTTGAGCTCTTGAAGGATGAGTAGAGTTTCGATGGAAGGAGAACCTATTCCCTTCTTTAAATTCCTTTTGCCTCCATTGCCTCAGACCACGTGGGTTCTCCCCAAATATCCGTAGTCAGGAGTCAGTTTTTCCTTGTAATTGAGTTTGGCTTAACTTGATTGTTTGCTAAATCACATTTTCAGGCCTTAGAAATAAAGCTGTGTAGTCCTAGTCTTGTCTTTGTGAATTTTACAAGTAAAATGTTCTTTCATCATCACGAGGGGGTGCTCATCTTGGTCTCCTGGCTACCAGATGTTTTTGGTGTTTATGTTTTTGATGTCTTGTAATTAGAAGTAGACTTATTTGGTTGTATTTGAATGTAGGGCAAAATCAGAAAGGTAATTTCTCCGTGATAATAAGCAAAAAATTGATCTGTTTTCTGTGCCCTTCATTTAGCATAAATGTTTTATTCAGTCAGTTTATTTCTTTATAGAGCAATGTTACTCCTTGGATATTGACTAGAGGCAATATTTAATATGGGTGATTATTTCTTATCAGATTTACCCCCCAAAATCACTTATCTGTGTAATGTCTTCATAGGCATGGAAATATCATAAGATCAAATAAAAACAAAGCTGGTTGAGGTAATAGCATTTGTTTTAACTCCAGCTACATTCCATTATACCCATGTTTTGTCTCCCTGCCCATCACTATCATGCATACTTAATAATGTGCTTAATGCCTATTTAGATAACAAGTACATTTTGTTTTATAGTATCATCGAGAAAGGAGAAGAACACTGTGGACATCTAATTGAGGCCCACAAGGAATGTATGAGAGCTCTGGGATTTAAAATATGAAATGGTAAGCTTCTTGCTTCAAATTTGTATTGCTTTACAGATTTAGCAACAGTTGGGCTACATTCTCTCTGAAAGGTAGTTCACCTGGTTAATCTAAAATGCTTAAGTATCAATTTGAAAAAACCATGATTTTTCAGTTCCCAGTGAAGGGAGTAAATTATGTCAGTAAAGACAGGCATTTAGCAGATTGGGGAAGGGGAGAATTGAGCTTTTAAGAAAGGGTTTGACAACAGTCTTTAGGTCTCATGGCTTTAGGAAAATTGTCTGACTGAAGGAACTAAAAGAAAAATATTCTCTTTCTTGTTTCTAATATTGTGAGACTTCAGTAAATGCTTTTTTTTTTTTTTTTTTTGAGGGAGGGTCTCACTCTGTAACCCAGGCTGGGATGAAGTGGCCCAGTCACAGCTCACTGCAGCCTCAACCCCCCAGGCTTGGGTGATCCTCCCCTCAGCCTCCTGAGTAACTGGGACTACAGGTGTGGGCCACCATGCCTGGCTAATTTTTTGTTTTGTTTTTTAGAGATGGGGTTTCGCCATCTTGCCCAGGCTGATCTCAACCTCTTGGACTCAAGCAGTCCTCCTGCGTTGGTCTCTCGAAGTGCTGGGGTTAGAGGTGTGAGCCACTATGCCTGGCCAATGAATGCTTTTAAGTAGGGAGTGGGTATCCCATGGAAGTATTGCTCTCTGAAAAATGAAAATGGAATTGTAGTTATTTCTTTTGTGCCATGCTTTATTCGAATAAAACTAAAGCCTCAGGCCCATTTTTTTTTTTTAATTAAAAGTAAACTTTAATGTCAAAAATGCAAACTTGGGGAAGACAGAAAAGATCACACACAATGCTGTTACTTCACACTTGGAAGGTTGCACAGTGGCTGGGCAGAGGTGCTCCTCACTTCCCAGACAGTGGGGCAGCCGGGCAGTGGCCCTCTTCACTTGCCAGGTGGGGCGGCAGCTGGTCAGAGGCGCTCCTCACTTCCCAGACAGGGTGGAAGCCGGGCAGAGACGCACCTCACTTCCCAGATGGTGGGCAGCTGGGCAGAGGTGCTCCACACTTCCCAGACAGTGGGGCAGCCCCGCAGAGGCGCTCCTCACATCCCAGACGGCGTGGCAGCCAGGCAGAGGCATTCCTCACTTCCCAGACAGGGCAGCAGCTGGGCAGAGGCGCTTCTCACTTCCCAGACGGGGTGGCAGCCGGGCAGAGGTGCTCCTCACTTGCTAGACGGTGGGCAGCCATCCAGAGGGGCACCTCACTTCCCAGACGGGGTGGCTGGGCAGAGGCGCTCCTTACTTCCCAGACAGTGGGCAGCCGGGCAGTGGCACTCCTGACATCCCAGATGGGGTAGTGGACCTCAGGCCATTTTTTAAAAGAACTTGGAACTCTTAATCCAAATTTAAGTGCTGAAAGGGACCTTAAGTGATATGTGTCCAACAGTTCCATAAACAAATGATATTCTTTTGTTTGGAAGCTCTTTCTTCAGTTATCAACTTAGCTCACCTCCCCCCCTACACCCCCTTTACTCAGTTCTCTTCAAATGTCTCCTTATTAGAGAGGCTTTCCCTCAACGCCCCATGTAAATTACATCCCTTGCCCATCATGGTGCTGTCCTAACAGAGCTTTCTGTGAACATGGAAATGTTCTGTATCTGCACTTGCCAGTCTGGTAGCCACTAGCCTTATGTGGCTGTTGAGCACTTGAATTGTGGCTGCTAAGACTGAGGTACTGAATTTTTAGTTTTTAAAAATTTTAATAGCTACATGTGGCTAGTGGCTACTTTATTCTATACACTGTCACCTACATATTATATATATTTTTAATTATCTGTGTTGCTTCACGGCAGTTAGAATGTAAGCTCTGAGAAAGTAGGAATTTTCTATTTCATTGACTGTCATATCCCCACCACCTATAACAGTGCCTGTCTCATAGTAGGTGCTCAGTGGAGGATTGTTAAATGAATGAATGAATAAATAAGGAAATTAAAGCTAATGGTTATGAAATGACCCCTAAGGTGGGTTGTGCAGTATCAGAACTGGAGCCTCAGTCTCCAGGCCGATTCCCTCTGCTTTTTGCCCCTACCCTAACTTCCACACCACACTACCACTTTTAACTTAATAACAGCTGAGAGATAATGCCAAAGCCACATGCCAATATATTAGTACTGGAGAGCCTGGCTTCTTTCCCTTGCACCTCTTTCCTGCCTCTTTGGAATTTCACATATGGCCGGTCTTCCTCACTGAGCTATAAAAAAGAAGGGATAAGGAACTTGTCGCAAGCTGATAAGAAGTTACTGTGTAATGGAAAACAGTCTAGGCTGAAAGTCCTGAGGCTTTATTTTTATTCTTCTGATATTTAGTTTAGCATGTTTTTCACTTTAGCTACATTTAGCTTCATCAAGACATTATTCCTCTGAATTTCACGTATTATTTATAAAAAGAGAACCATAATACATTTTGTGATTCTATATATAGTATGGTATATCTTCTGTTGTGTATATGATACGCTTAAGTAGCTTTTAGACTAGATGGTTATTTAAAGAAATGCCGTAATGAACTATTTTGTAAAATAAGTAAATTTGAAGGGGAGTGTGTTCTTAAAAAGTGTAAGTGTACTTTATTAACTATTTTTAAAGATGCAGCCTCAACATTTGTACATGGTTTCCTTGTTCATGATATAAGTCCCTCATCAGTTGCATAAGCTGTAGGCTTGTGCTGAACCTGCCTTGATAAAAAAGGGTGATTTAAAAAAATGCTAATTTTAGGAATATCAAAAGCTTATCTTGGACTTCATCTGAACCACAAAGGTGGTACAATTGTTATTAGTGGCATATATTCAAAAATACCATATGATATCATAGTTTTCTTTATGTTATTGGGACAGAGAGTGAGAATTATGTCTGTGTACTTCATTTGTGTGTAAAAGAAAATGCAAAAGCTTTAGACTTAGAAAATCTACTGTTTAACTGATTGTGTGGTCTTGGGCAGGTCCTTAACTTTCTGTACCTTGGTTTCCTCATTTGTAAAATGGAGACAATAATACATGCCCAAACTACTTCATAGAATTGTTGTGATGATTAAATGTAAAATAAATCATCTGTAAAAACCAGAACAGAATAGCTCATACCTTGAGAGTTGTAGATAGCAGACATTCAGTTGAGGTCTGTTAAGTATATGACTTGATTATTATTGAATCCTGGTTACAGGAAGAACAATCTGAATCCATGTAGGACCTTTCTAAGAATTCAAACTGCATGTTCTTCATTTTCAGTGTAATAATATTTTTGGAAGAGGACTGGGTGTTGGATCCTCGTTGGTCCCAGGTGTCCTATTTCCCCAACCTCCATGGGGAAATGGAGGCACAGTGAAGTCAAAAAAGACTTGCTCAAGTTAAGAGTGGATAGTGGTCAAATTACATTAGAGTTCAGATCTTTTATATTCTCCAAATCACAGGCACTTTACACTTCACTCCTTGTATTTAATGAGATTTTATTCCAACATGTTCATTTTTAGAATTGCACATAATCTTGATCTTCAATCTTAAAACCTCATTATGAATGCTAATTAGAAAGACCTGTTGCTGAAATGTACAGTTGCATATAACCGAGTAAACAGGCCATTGGCTGGAGGGTGAAATCCAACACAACTGTCTGCATTGCTGTAAGATAAACTTAACCTAAATTGGTATTTCTTAGACTGTTAGATCACATTTTTCTGAGAATAGCTTCAAAGGAAAAATATTTTGCAAACTTAGATCTTTCTGGCAATGATCATGAAAGTTCCTGAATTCAGAAACCTTTGTAGATTTCGATGTTATTCCTAAGTAGATCTTAATTGTACCTCGAGTACAGTAGATTGGGAATAAATCTATTATACATTTTTTATACTTAATGTGAAAGTAGGCTACATTCACCCAGTAGTTCTTACCCAGAGGTGCACCTCAGAATCATCTGAAGAATGTTTTCCAAAATTCACAACTTGGGCCCTGGTCTGCACCTGTTGACTGAGAAACTCCTAGATAATTTTCAAGTGCACTTCTCTTTAACAACCACTGGCCTAAGTTGAAGACAAATAGCAGAGATAATGCTAGACGTAAATTATCTGAAAGTTTAGTAGTAGCAAAGGCAGAAACTTGAAAACTCAAGAAAAAATGGGTATGGTGGTGGTTTTAGACAATTTTTTCTATTTTTTGACTGCTTCTTTTACTGAAAAGAGAAATTACAAGAACCTAGAACCTCATTAGAAATATAAGGAGGAAATGGATGGCTACTGTCTTTCTGCCTTTAGGAGTCAGAAGAAGCCTAAAGAACCCATTTTGGAGACTAAAGTCATTGAAAGAAATTAAAGGACTAGTACTGAGTAGTGGTGATATTCAGTATTAAGTTTAACAACTTAACAGTTGGGTGCTTAAAATATGCTGAATTTTATGCGCACACACACACAAAACTGATTATGTATGAAAATCTGATCCCAAGATAATCCAGAAAGAGTAATTTCTGCCATTCAAACGTTTATTCATTCAACAGATATTTATTAAGACCCTGGAAAATGCCGAGGGGAGAAAGATTATCCCTCCAGTCAAGGACTTTACATCCAGAGATATAACCAAACAGGTTTAAATCCACGGTCTTCTACCACGTAGCCCCTTTTGATGTGTAGTCAGTAGCAAAAGTGGTAACAATGCTATGAGCTGCTATAATTGAAAGGTTGAATGGCTTCGCTTTTGGTTGTCTTTCCAAGCTTTTCTATAAATGTATTCTTCCTTTGAGCCTTTTAGAAAAGAGAGAGTTTAGATGTTTGTGTCTTGATGTGGTTTATCTTTATCTAAACCAAATGAAGTGAACAGCTAATTGAGGCAAGTATTTGCATTAGACTTGAAGAGTTAGCTACTCCAATTTAATTACCTTCCTACCATTGTTCTCAATCTTCTGGGATAGGCATTGGGAGCAGTGTGAGAAGCCTGGTATTGACTTGACTGGATCAGCAACCCTATCTATGCTACTCTCCCTTTTTGATTTTTCCAAATGAATGTTAAAAGGTTGCCCTTATCTTGCCTTTGGGATTAAGGGAGTAACTTTCCACAGGAAGTGCCTTGAGTACTGAGCTGACCTTCTGCCTTCTACTTTGTGGATCTTCGCCAGTCATACTTGAATCAGCAAAGAGGGGTTTGCAAGTCTTGTTTCTTGAATATCTGTAAAAATAACTGCTGTAGCCTTTTTTGGAGGATATTTTTGAGAAATACATATTTCTCAAACACACGTATTATTTCTATATATATACACACACAGAGAGGGAGTTTTTACTTCAAAAACTTTTAAAGAGTAAATAGTATCGTAGTAGTTTCACTGATGTTTTTAGTTAGGCAAACCTAGAATTTTAAAATGTTGATTTTGAATTTTATGACTGATTTGGAATAATTCTGGCAATTAGTTAATTACTCATCTGCGGCATTCATTTCTAGTGGTCTTAATTCCCTGACTCCATAGATCTGGCATGATGTTTGAAATCTGACTTTCTAAAATAAATCTTTTTCTGTAGGTGGTCTGCTGTGTGAATAAATAATTCCTGAAGAATGAAGAAGATTAATTTTGGGAGTTCTTTGATGAACTTTGATATGTGGAAAAAGTATAATTTATTTTTAAAAGAAAGTAAAATATTACTAGCGAAAGATCTTCAGTTGTGTTTCTTTTTGTGTGTGTGTTCCTCATTTGCTCACGTGGCTTTTTTCCCCCAAAGGGTATATATCAACAAATCTTGTAACATAAAGTGCTTATATTCTTATTAAAATGTCATTCTGGGAACTCTGGATATCTGTTGTCAGGAGAAAGCAGATACTGATCTCAACCAATGAAATCTCCAGAATTAGGTGAATAGAAGTAGGAAAAATAACCCTTTACCAATTCAGAATCAGTGTGGTAGCCATATCATCTCCTTCAACACTCTTTTTTTTTTTTTTAAACTTTCTTAAAGGTAAGAACAAGCCTTTAGTCTTATTATTTAAACCATTATTGTTTATTAGCTGTCTTTTGGAGAAGTCAGTTTAGATTTTGGATCAGATTAGGGTGATTTGGCTTGGAAGATCTCAACTGTTTGGCATTATGAATCTGTACATGGCTAGTTATTGTTTTGATTTAATTTAATTTAACTTAATTTGGGAGAGCTAAGTAATTAAACATGAGGCCAAAGTACATAAGAAAGTGGCAGTCTTTTATTGCAAATATGCACACACTTTCGGGCGAAGTTCTCTGGTCCTCAGGTGTAGGGGGCCAGGGAAGTCGCGCTGGCGCTCTCGGGTGATGTTCTCCGGTCCACAAATGCGGGGGCCGAAGAAGTCACGCTGGCTCCTGCTAGTGGCAGACTTTTATGAATTGGTACTGGAAAGGGGAGGGCAGTGGGCAGGATAAGGGCGTGATAGGGGCATCTCCGTAGGCGTGGCCGGGTAAGTTTCGATCTCTTCGGATTGACATCACCTGGCGCATGCTCGGTTGATCTGCATCTTCCCGCGCGCGGGAAAGTTGGTGAGGAAGAATCCGGAAGCAACATGGATTATGCCTTCTTGTTCACCTTCCTCCATCTTGTCCTTTCTCCTTTACCCAAACAGTTATATTTTAAAATAGACTAGGATTTTAAGTTTCGTGCCTACAGGTTAGACAGTTGTCTCTTAATTAGGAGCTGGCTTAGGCTGGAGACTGAATTGGGACTAAAAGTCACTAATCAAACAGCTCAGTGCTATGCCATGGTGATGTCTGGAGTTGAACAGAGTGTGATTTCCTTAGTATAGCAATCTTGTCATCCTTGTAGCTGCTGATGGGCTAATGAAGTATGGTCATATTCTGCTTGTAAAGTACATTGAGTCTAAAATCTCAAGAACAAAAGATACTGAGAACATAAGAGGATATGTAATATTCATGTGCCATTGTGTGATGGAAAAAGTCTCTCCTTTATAAAATAAGGAACTGAATCGGATGATTCCTTAAGATTCTTTCCTAATTCATTAAGAGCATGACTTTGATGTATGACAGACTTAGGTTCAATAGCTGACTATGTGACCTCAAGCAAGGAATAGCTTTTTTGGGTCTCTTTCTCAGCTGAAAAAAAAAACCAAAAAAGAAAAAAAACAAAAAGCAGGTATAGAAGTAATACCTAACTTACAGGATGGGAAGTACTAATTAAAAATGATGTATACACAGTATTTGGCACTGTTATTAGCATTCTCTTATTTTATTTTTATATTTTTATTTGAATATTCATTTGGATATACTTTAGTAAGCACTTTGTGATTTACAGACATAATCTACATGAAGAATAGAATCTTGGACAATTAAGACAGGTATGAACCAACTTCCCACCCAATACAGATCTTTGGCATATGGTTATCCAAACTCTGCTTGAATATATCCTGGAACTACAAAAAAATAAAACAAAAAAATCAATAACCTTATCACCCGTTGTTGATTTCTAATATATACTAGTCCAGACTTTTTCTATGCCTTTATACATGTTTTAAAACAAAAATAAAATTTTTTCTGTGCTATATATATTTTAATGAAGTTAAAACATTATCATGTTTTGCCCCTAATGTATTTTACCATCAGTGAGTATAGGTCTACGGTGTCATTTGTATTGACTATGTATAAATTCATCTGTGACTTAACCATAATTTAACCAATACCCTGTTTTTTCTTTTTGCACATTTGGACATTCATTCATTAAACAAATACTTCATATAGAGTGTCTTCTGTATGTCAGATGCCATTCTAGGAATTGGATCTCAGTCTGGAACAGGATGTATGTCAGATAACCTAAATTCTGAAGTTTTGTTTTATTTTGTTGGTTGCTTTAATGGAAACATTATAAGGAAGAAATATCCTGAAATCCCACCAGTCTACAATAGAACCTCTCTTCAATAGCATTCTCTCTCTCTCTCCCTCCCTCCCTCCTTCCCTCCTCTCTGTGTGTGTGTGTGTGTGTGTGTGTGTATATATACACCTTTTACTTTTTTTTTTCTTTTGGCTACCCTGATAACACTGCAATAGAAGTCTCCTTATGGAAAGTCTTTACAAGTGTCCTTTACTAGTCACTCAGCTAAGGAGGGGCCAGAGGCCATGCATGTTTTCAAGGCTTTGAGTGACGACTGCCCCCAAATGATCTCTAGAAAAAAAAATGCGCATTTGCACCTTAGTGTCTCAGAGCACTGATTTCCCTAATCTCTGAGCAACACAATTTTTTAAAACTTTTGCCAGTTTGGTATGCTTGCCTGATTTGTAAAGGACCTGAAAGCACCCTTTTTGGCCTCTGCAACACTTAAAAGTACATCTCACAAGACCCTCTGCCCACCCTTTCCTAGTGCTTGAGTCTTCCCAAAGATGATGTGCAGCATTTCCGTAATAATAAGAGGCATCACCACAGTAACTGGAAAAATGAAGAACTTGGCCTCCTAGTGGGTAACAACCACATTCTAATGCACCTCTTTGCTAAGCCTTTGCTCTTCACAGTAATGACTAAACTCAATGCGGATATATTCACACTATTCTTTCTAGTCCTCTCTGTCTAACCTTGAAATGTTTAACTTGAAGGTTGATGAAAACAGGATCATATCCTTAAGTAAGGCCTATCTTGGGATTACTACGTCTTTCACAGGTCTAATGTGATCTGTGATGTGATGGAAAAACCATGATCCTCATTTTACAGGTGAGTATAGGTGCTCGGAGAGGTTAAGAAAATCACCCTGATCCAATAGCTGGTAACCTGTGATGTAAGCTGAAGCCCAGTGTTCTTTGATGTACTAGTTATCCAGTATAAACATCATGTATTTGTAGTTATAAATTCACTTAATGCATACTTAGTGAAGGCCTGTTATTTGCAGGTAACAGCCCTAGTGTTGATAATTCATGTGTGAATCAGACATACTTTTTTCAAGATGAGAGGTTGTTTGATTCATCACTTGCTGAGGACATACTGTATGCCAACTATACAGAGTAGTAGTCAAAGAATAGTAAGACATAGACTCTTCCCTCAGAGAGCTTATAGTCTAGTGGATATATATATATATATAAACCATAGAAATATAAAGTTGAATGCTCAGTGGTATGATGGATATTCCAAGATGCTTTCCTAAAGTGCATGTGTGATTATGCCCAGTATTTATTTCTTTAGGTATTAAAAAGTGCTAGATGTTCTGTCTGTGTTGATTATGGTGCTTTTGATAGCAAGTAATAGAAAATCCTCTTAAGGATAACTCACGTAGCTGGAAGTCCAGTTAGAGTCAGCTCTAAATGTGATGATATCATAGGATCACTAATTTCATCCAAGACTCAAGTTATTTTCATCTCAGAGCTTTCTCGTCCAGGACTGATGAAGCCCATCATGTGCTTTCTTGTTCAAGTGCAGCAGAAGAGAGGGAAACCATTTCCTGGGCATGGACTCTTAGTCCCTTTTCTAAAGTCTGATTGAGCCAAATTAGGTTATATGTATTTTTATGGACCAGTAATAGTTATCAACGGAATACGTTATGCTGATTGGCTTATACAAGATTCCCCACCTCCACCCCACCCCCGCTTAGATCCATGTGCAGGTTTGACATCTGGACAAAACAAATTCTGTTGCAATTGAGGAAGAGGTAATTGGATATTGAATAGACAACTAGATTTCCACTGCACCATCTTGTTCACCTAACAGGTCACCCTGAACGGTCAAACTGAGTTTGTAGGAGGAATTCCTCTCGTAGTTTACTCAAACTTTAGAAAGAAAATTATTGGTAGAGCATAATTCTGATGTTCAGTTTTTATAGAATAAGACAATTAGCAGATGTTCAGAGAACTGTTCCCTGAAGAGTTGTCCTTCGGGAGATCTGAATTAGGATGCTTTCAAAAGCAAGCACTAGAATACCCAACTATGCTGATGCAAGCAATATAGAAAAGTAATTTATCTCCCTGTTAGGAAGTTTAGAAATTAAAAGCTCCAGGTTTGAGACAGTGGCTCAGTGGTGCTTTCAAGAACTTAGCCTTGGCCGAGTGTGGTGGTTCATGCCTGTAATCCCAGCACTTTGGGAGACCGAGGCCAGAGGATCGCTTGAATCCTGGAGTTCAAGACTGGCCTGAGCAATGCAGTGAGAACCTGTCGGTACAGAAAATAAAAACATTAGCTGGGTATGGTAGTACATGCCTGTAGTTTCAGTTACTTGGGAGGCTGAGGTGAGAAATCACTTGAACCCAGAGGACTGAGGCTGCGGTGAGCCGTGATTGCGCCACTGCATTCCAGCCTGGCTGACAAAGCAAGGCCCTGTCTTAAAAAAGCAAGCAAACAAAAAACCTAGGCTTGTTCTATTTTTCTGCTCTTTATCCTTCTCATCCTTAGGCATATCATATCTCATGACTATGGTAACTTCAAGCATTACATCATCACACAACTGTTCGAGCCTGGATGAAAGGTAGGCCTGCTGTCTATCAGGGAGTATGCTTTTTCCCAGAAGCTCCCCCACATACTTTCTCTTACATCTCATTGCTCACATGTCTCCTTTTGTGCCAGTCACTACCAAGGGGAATGAGATACTGTGCTTGGCTTCAACCAATCTTAGATCAGGCTCTGGCAACCTAGGGAAAAGCCCACCTTCCTTAACATATTGCCCAAGCAAAACTAGATTTGCATAAACTAAAGAAAAAGGGGAAATGGCTATGGAAGTCAACCAATAGTGTCTGCTTAAGTTCAACTGGACACTGTGTGTCTAGACCCTAAAATTATGCCTCTGTTTTATTTTAGTATCCATACTAGGAAAGTGTTAGCCTCAAGCTCAGTGTTTCTCAAACTGTATGTGGTGAAGAACCAGCTTTTTTCCCCTCAATTCATCACAGACCAACACCAGGAAAATGAAATAAACCCATACAGATTTTAAAATATACTATACAAACCCAGAATTTTTGTTCAAAGGCCATAGTTTCTCTGGGATTGCTATAAAAAATGTCTAAACTCTCACAATTTCTGTCCTTACCCCAGTGTGAACCAGCATGGACCAGTAACAAACAGTTTGAAGACCAGGCTGAGTTCATGACCACACTTGTTGACTCTGCTGACTTCACAAGCTGGCCCCAGCCTGCCTCACCTGCCCCTTGTCTGCTGCTCCTTTTGTTCACCTACAACAAGCTGTTCTCTGTTACCAGAATATGCCACATATTTTGTTTCACTTCTGGAATTGACTTTATAATCTGTTCTTTCTTCTTGGAATGCCCTCCTCTAGCTGGGGAAAATTTTTTAGACCAGATTAAAAGTCACCTTCCCTGTGATGTTTTCTCATGAAAAAAATATTTTTTTAAGAGACAGGGGTCTCACTACGTTACCTAGGCTGGTCTCAAACTCCTGGGCACAAGTGGTCCTCCCACCTCAGCTTCCCAAAATGCTAGGATTACAGACATGAGCCATCACGCCCCAATCTCATGAATTTTAGTTAGGTTATGGCAGTATAGTAAAAGTCCCTATACATTAAATTATTTGCTCCCTCATCAGTGTTTTTTCTTTGAATCCTAGGTACACTTGTTTTATTGGATTACAGTTTCTGGGTCAGTATCCAGGATAGACTGAAAGTTTCTTGAAGTGATAATTATCTTATTCATCTTTATATCCCCTGTTCTTGGAACACATAGTTTGTCCTGAATAAATAATACCTACTGAAATGAATCAACTCAACAAATGAGAAAACTTCTGTTTCTTTCCTTTTTTCTTTCCCAGATGTTTATTGTGTTCTACCTTCATGTTTGTGTATTTCCTTGTAAGAACATACCATTTTGACAGATAATACATTTTTTTCTTTCCTTTTCTATCAGATCTGGACTTAAACAAGACACAACTTTTCATTGTTGTGTTCTAATCACAGGTCCTATCCTGTGGGCATCAGTTTCACTATTACTGCAGGCCACGTGTGGGGTTTTTGCACCCATGATTCTCTGACATGTATGCCACCCTAGCAACATACTCAGATTTCCAGCAGCAATAGATGAGCTTGTATATGCAGATATGTAAACTCCCAAAAGTACCTGGTAGGATGCTATTAATATATTGTAGAGAATATACAATTCAGATACACACTGACCTGGGCTTTAATCCTTATTCACAGACTGACTAGCTTTGTGGCCTTGGGCAAGTTCCTTAGCCTCTCTAAGCCTGCTTCTTCTATTAAAACAAAAAATAGGTATAGTAAGATAACATGAGAAAACAATAGTTTCTTGGTAAATGTTAGTCCCCTCTGCTGAGACAGCACATACGTGGACTGGCAGGAAAGCAGGTTGAGTGCAGTCTGGGCAGCAGGACAAGTGAACCATAGAGTTAATGGGTCTGCCTGTCTCTTTAATGGGTCAGGGCCAACCTCTTTGGCGGGTCTCCTGAGAAAGATGAGCTGCTTTGAAATTCTATCTTGGGCAGAGCCTTGGTTGCTTCTCCATTTCTGTGCTTCTGACTTCCCTGCTTACAGCTGGCAGGGACAGCTACTCTGGAAGCTCAGGGCCTGCATGTCTGTGGTAGAAGGATGAGCAGCTGCTGCTTGTTAAAGTAGGGGGGTTGTTTGGGAGGCAGGCGAGTGACATAAAAACAGTATATGGAAATCCCCAAACCCCACTGTTCAAATGACTTCAGGGGTCCAAATCATGTCCATGAAGTGGACTCAATGACATTTCTTCTCCAGACACTCCAGCTCTTTCCTTTACTGATTTTTTTCCTCTTAACTTTAGAAAGGAGGAAATACGGTATATATTTGTTGGTCAGATGATTTTAATTAGGTTGAGAAAAAAATGGCTTCCTTCAACATGCCGTGCATTTTCATACTTCTGTGCCCGTGCTTCTGCTGTTCTTGCCACTAGAAATGCTGTTCTCCCTCTACCTGCCTGGTGAATTCAACCTCTAAACCTTAAATTAGAGGCCAGCCCTTCTTTGCATCTTCCCTCCCTGATGCCACCCTTCTTTCTAGGCCGCCACCATCCTTCAAACTTAACTTGGTTGTTGCGCTTTACACACTGAACTGCCTTTGTTTTTTGAGGTCTCTTTACCCTAACGGTGAAAGTTTCTCTTGAGGATTTTTGATCCCCAAGTGCTTAGCTCATAAAAGGCACTCAATAAATATTTGTTGAGTGAAAACATCCATATTTGACAATTTCTCATTTCTCTTAAATTTTTATCAAGTTATAACAGCATAGTAAAAGTCCTTATGGATTGAGTGCTTGATTAGTTCTGGGAGGTTACTGAGCGCCCCACCTGCACTTCAGGGGCAATAGGATTAATGGTAGTAAGTACTGACCTAACAGCAGGAAGAATCAAGGAGTCATTTGGAATCCATAGAATCATTCTTTCTCCCTTCCTTCCTTCCCTCCCTCCCTCCCTCC